ATCATTTGAAGCAGATGTGTATGGAAGTTGTAAAGCAAAAACGAAACAAACAAAAAACTGGACTTTCGTGAGCGTCCAAGAATCTACAGGAGAACCTCAACGATATAGTTAGCAACACTTTCCTCTCAATCTGTACACTGTGCTTTAATGACTTTGCACATGATTTTTCCTTCTTCTATGAAAGTCTCTGAAATTGCCCTGCAGCATTCCATATAATGAGAATCTCATTTCTGATTCACTGCCAAGGGTGAGTGCTATCTGTATTTGGCATGGAGCTAGGTGACCTAGCTAGGAATCTAACCAGAATTTTCAGAGTGACTGATGTCTGGGCATAGGTTCTGCCATCTGATTTTGAAGATCACTAACAGAATCTTCAACCCTTGCTAACATGGTTGAAGGAGATGTGGTGGGTACCTAGTCTGAGCCACCCTTCCCCTCTCTCTGTTAAGTACCTTAGTTCACCCACAGGATCAGAGCAGATGTTGTCAACATCAGCTTCAGGGTATTATGTGAATGCTGTCCTGGATGGATTAGACATTCAGCTGTCTGAAGCCTAGGCCAGATGTTCTTAGGACCGCTTACTGCTTAGGGATGGATAAAGTGTACTTGGTTATGATAAAGGCCACTCTTGGCTAGGAAGAGGAATAAATCAAGCCAAAGGAAAATGCAATACTAGCTATGACAAGAAGAAAACCTCAGCTTAATATTAACTTTAATAGATATATAAATTTTGGCACTCTCATTACTGATGCTTCAAGAGTTCATGTAAATCCTGTTCATCAGGACTCTATTATTGCTCTTTCCAAGCAAAAAAGGCAGCAGCGAACCAATTATTTGCTTTATTTGGAAAAGCCGAGATATTCATTCTCTATGTGGCAGGTTGAATGTGGTAGGTGAGATGAGTGGTTTTCATACTAGCAGCAACTCGGGAGGATGTCAATTTTGGACATAATACAAGCTTGATTCCTTTGCATTTTCTATGCAGAAATTCTTAGAATAACTGCAAGAATTTTAAACCTGTGTTAAAGGGGGACCGAGACTGATGTATTTCCTTGAAAGATGAGCTGATTATATGTTGCACCTGAGTTATTCATTCACTCATCAAATATTTATTGTGGTCCTGGTGGCACAGTGGCTAAGTGCTTGGTTGTTAATAAAAAAGTTGGTGGTTCGAATCCACCAGTTGAGAAAGAGGTGGTTATCTGCTTCTGTAAAGACTTGCAGCCTTGGATACCTTATGGGACAATCTTATTCTGTCTTGTAGTTTGGCTGTGAGTTAGAATTTGACTCACTGAGAACTGGCACAAGAGAAAAGGTGGACATTTTAAAACACTCTAATAATTGAAGACTTCTGTTTCTTTAGGTAAAATGTTATCCCCTTTAATAAGCATTGAAATTATTTACAGAAATACCAAGCATAGGTAAGAATTAACGACTTGATGGCTTGTACAATATGCATGTACAGTGACCTCCACACTGTATCAGAAATTGCAGTGGGTTGGGGAGCTGTGGAAGACTCAAAAGAAATATTAGATATAGATTCTCATTTCAAGCAGCTTAGTTGAGAAGTAAAAGCCTCACATTCAAGACAGAACTAGAAAGTAAAGAAGACAAAATATAATCAAGTGCTTAGGTATAGCTAGAAGAG